CAGATCGAGATGGTTCATCAATCGATCGGCCCCGCAGAGATGTGTCCCTGGCGCTACACCAGCACTTGCAGCTCACCTCTGCCGCGTGTTCACAGCGCTATAAACCCCCAATGATCCACTTGGGTTCGGAACGATTGGCAAAAAATAACTGAGATCACTACAAGCTAACGCGTGCAAAGATTGAGAATTGTGAAGATGAGTGCAAGTTAGAATAAGAGGCACTTACAGGGACCCACCCGCCCGCCCACGAGCACACTTTACTTAAAACTAACGTATACATAAAATTAACTTAAAACTAACGCACGCATCCCTCGAAGATCCTTCGATGATTCCTCGATGATCGATGTCTTCAATCTTCGCGTATACGCATTTCATACATGTACTCATTCACACTACAATGTGTTACAATAGACGCAACTTAAAATTAACTTAAAATTACTTAAAACTAGTTGATGAAGTCCCTCGAAGGAAGTCTTCAGTGATGACTTATTCATTATCTATACAATAATTGGGGGTAACAATAAAAAAAGAAATAGAGGAGTACATGCAAGATTAGAAACGTTATAATGTTTAGGCGTGCACAATTCATGCTACCATGCACAATTCATGCTACCATGCAAAATGCATGCTAACATTTTCGGAGTAGAAGTGAAATAAGACACGAGGCGACTCGATAAAAATACGCTAATAAAATACAATAGATTTGGGAAATATATAATTACTGAAAATTTTAACCTGTAACATAAAAATATAATTAAGACATATATGAAACATTTCCTAATTAAAATAAAAACCTGAAACATTTAAATGAAATTAAGACAAAAATGAATTATTAATATAAAAACCTGAAACATCTGAATAAAATTAAGACAAACATGAATAATTCACTTACTTAAAATTAAAATAAAAACCTGAAACATCTAAATGAAATTAAGACAAAAATGAATTATTAATATAAAAACCTGAAACATCTGAATAAAATTAAGACAAACATGAATAATTCACTTACTTAAAATTAAAATAAAAACCTGAAACATTTAAATGAAATTAAGACAAAAATGAATTATTAAAATAAAAACCTGAAACATAACAATTTTTTGATTAAGACACATATGAATAATTCACTTACTTACTTAAAATAAGAATCTGAAACAGAGAAAAGCAATGAAGACAAATATGAACTATTAAAAATTACTTAGATAAAATCAAAACCTGAAACATACAAAAAAAGTTAAGACACATATGAATTATTAAAAAATACTTACATAAAATCAAAACCTGAAACAAACAAATATAATTAGACAAACATAAAACATTGAATTACTTACTTAAAATAAAAATCTGAAACAGACAAAAATGATTAGACACATATGAAAAATTAAATTACTTACTTGAAATAAAAATCTGAAACAGACAAA